ATCTTCAGCATCTCAGCACAGCATCTTAACCCCCTTACCACCCATCTTCAGCATCTCAGCACAGTATCTTAGCCCCCTTACCACCCATCTTCAGCATCTTAGCACCCCGTCTTGGCACCCTTACTACCCATCTTCAGCGTCTGTAAAAACCAGACAGCCTAATAGAACTAGTCCTTAATTTACGGCATATTTAGGGCACATGTTCAAGCCTTAGAGGAGATAATGGGTCACTGAGATATGAACAGAAATCTATTTGTTATATCTACCTCATATTCACCCTCTGTGAATTAGCCAGCAGGATATTCACAGCCATAGAATTAGGTGGGATTTCACTGCTGTTCTATTTAAATGGAGACGTGTGCTTGACTACTACAAATGCTTAAATTGTGCTGTATATGGCATGTATTGGACAAAAGACCTAAAATGGCAGTAACTGAACACGTCAAAAGAACAGACATCATTTCAGAGTAATTAACTGGTGGTTGTGCATTGCCCTGTGCTATTGTGTGCTTTGGGGAGGGCACACGCAGTCCGCATTTCACAAAAATGAATTAGGCTATAAGAGCTTTATTTAAATGGAAATACATGTGTGCTGCCGGTTTCATTATTTCAGCAAATTCATGACGTACACAGAGAATAAAGCGCAAGTGCTCTGTAGCGCTCAAGCTGCCCTGATAACCGCAGCGTGTCGTCTGAATCATCACCAAAACTCATGTCAGCGCATTTTCTAATTGCCAGAGTGTCTATATGAAAAAAAAAAAAAACACGCACAATTGAATATTCATATAGACAGCCAAATCCGATTCAACTGACAAAATTCTGAGTTGAGTACAGCCCTACTAATTCCGGATATTTCCTGTTCAGAAGAGTGCTGGAATAGTACCTGCTCTATGGGATGCTGGGTAGTACCTGCCCTGTGGGATGCTGGGTAGTACCTGGCCTGTGGGAGGCTGGGTAGTACCTGCCCTGAGGGATGCTGGGTAGTACCTGCCCTGAGGGATGCTGGGTATGATGTGCACTATCCTCCTCAATGCAGGATTGTGTGTTTGCGAGTTTGAGAGCATGCTTGGATTTGATGGCAGTTTGTACATCTTTTGGCTGATGACATCCTACCAGACAGCTGAGACACAAACATGGCTGCTTATATTCTTAACTTCTATGGTGCTTGTAATGATTGTTAGTAAACATTTTCTCTAATGGAGATAGGGGTTGTGCTGTGGTTTCGCACAAAATGAGCAGCAGACACACTTGAGGGCCACACAACATACTGGGTTCAGACACCTCATCTTCTGGTGACTGAATGAAGGAGAAATTAACAAAAAAGCATAGAGAAATGTATTTTATATGCTGGAAAGCCTAAAACAGAAGAACAGAATATTCCATTTCTTAGAAAACAGAGAATTATACCAGTAAAGGTATAATATCAAACAAAAATATTGGTGAATCCTTTCCGTGTGGGTGACTTCAGGACATAGATACCATCAAACTCCTCCACTCCAGTGCTGACTCAGGTTGGGAAATCCCACAATGCCTTGCCCTTTCACACACCCCTTCTCTGGTCTTCCCGTGGTGTGAGTATCCCATGCTTTGTTGTAATGCATCACATTTCTTTGCCTCGGTTGATTCATTCTTGGTCATTGGAACATGTACTGAGGTAGTTTGGTTCCACTATGTTCTCTCTGTACTGGAACGAGAGGAGTTTTCAGCTGGTAAGTTCCTGGGCTGTTACTGGGCCAGACCCGATAAAGAGGTAGGAACCTGTTGCTCTTGGGACAAGGTTGGGGCTCTTTCCAGTGGGGTGGAGTGAGAGGGAGACGAGACCAGAGAACACCCCCAGAAGGTATGATGAAAGCAATGGAAAGAATCGCTTTTTCTAGAGAAGTTTAATGGGGACGTTTTAAAGGACAACAATAAAACTGTTATTAAATAAACATGAAAAAAGAACATGAATAATAAACAGTGGACTTTATAGGCCCATAATATAAATTAAACTATAATTATAAGGTATGAATATTATGAAGGTAAGATATAAAGGTGTTATTACTAGATATTACTAGACTCCAGTTAAATATTTGTTGCTCTTATGAAAGTATTTGCTTTATTACTACAAAGTTCCCAAATCCACAGATGGTGGCTAATGACAATAGTGTAAGGTTGTTGTTGCTGAGCATTCTTATAACACTCCTATAACACTTATAACAGGCCTGCTGGTCACCTACCACTCTGCAAAGCTTCGCTGCAGCCCTAATATAACATACTAGTTTAGCCTTAACATTTAGCTGCCTCTAATACTGAGATGCCACAGAAGGGTCATATTATCTGTATATGGTGTGTATAATTAGGGCTGCGCATAAGGTCTGCAGGAGCAGGACTGGGCAGCTTTTAATGCTTTCTAAAGCATGAAGGGGCTCATTATGGAAGTGTGTATGGTCATGTATATATTACAATGTGGGACAAACAAAAAAAAATGGCAAAAGTATTTTGTTTGGTTATTTATGGTAAGGGCTGGGTTAAGGTTGTCATTTTTGGGATTACAGTTATGCCCATAGAAATGAGTGGACAGTTCCCACAAGGATATGAATACATGGAGTGTGTGTCTGTGTGTGTTTGCATGTGCCCGTGTATGTGTGTACATGTGTGTTTGCGTGTGTGAGTGTGTGTACGTGTGTGTGTTTGCGTGTGTGAATGTCCGTGTGTGTGTGTTTGCGTGTGTGTGTATGCGTGTGTGTGTGCATGTGTGTTTGCATGTGTGTATGTGTGTTTGCATGTGCGAATATGCATGTGTGTACGTTTGTGTGTGTATGTGTGTTTGCGTGTGCGAATGTGTGTGTGTGTGTGTGTGTGTGTTTGTGTATGAACCCTATAATAGATGGGCGCCCCTGCCCCCTCTCTGTGCTTCCTGGGATGGTTCCCAATCCTATATTAGATAGGGGTTTGGAAAGTGGATGGATAGACACACTCACAAAATTTAACTCACACTGTTAAATTTACATAAATTACACTAACCCTGATGGGTTTCCCATTGTTGCCAGCAAAGATGAAGTTTTTAATTTTCATTTTTTCTTATTTCACCTTTATTTTTCTAGGGAAGTCACTAAGAACAATTTCTTATTTACATGAATGACCTGGAAATAAAGTGTCTCACCTTTGCATCACATTATGATGTGATCTTAATATCTGTACCTGCCGTTGATGTCACTTTCTGGATTCAGATATAGGCATGAACTTTTGTAGATGGTGATTGTGAATCAATATAGGGAATTTTTTGTATCTTGTAGCATTTGATTTATAAATGCAGAGGTTTTGTCTTACAGTGAACATTACTACTTTAAATTTTTCAACCCCGATGTCAGCACAAAACTACATAACATACAGACAACAATAAAACAATGGCTAAGGACAGTAATAAGACATATCAAATGTATTTGGACACAATTATTGACAATGTGAATTCACTCAAGAAGTGTACAATGCAGAGATTTGCTATTTAAGTTTTATATTTAAATGGTTCTTGACATTTGTAAGCATAGAGGAATTTGCATCATGTTAGGGTTAGAACAGCACTTCATGGTTTGACAGTTCCATCACCAAATGCAGCAGGAAGCACAATTAATTACAATTAATACCAGGATAAAACTGGTTGATTTGCACTGGTTCATTTTAGTGAGGCAAACATGTTTAATGAGTTTAACAAGCTTGCTAGTTTAGAAGTGAAAGTTTGCAGTACAGGGGAATATCAGCTCTGGGATGTTGCCTGCATGGCCAGGCCAAGTGATCCAGTCCTGATCTGCTTGTGATTGGCTGAGTCACTCTTAGCCAATTAATGATCCAAGCTGAGACATTAAGCATAGATCTTATAACTATGCAGGTGTGTAAATTCAAACAAACATATCTATAACTAAAATATTTTACATATATAATTATAACACGACGATACAGGTCTACAAACTATCAAAAGGGAAAAGAACACTTATACAAGCAAACAAATGAATAGACATAAATTAATTAAATTAATGAAAATACACAATTTACAAGAGGTCAGATATGATATTATTAAAAAGAAAATTAAAAATGCACTTCCTGACAACCAGATCCCATATCAGCCTTTTAATAGTGCCAGAACAGCATAAGGGTAACGTTGATACAGTATTAAGGCAGCCTCAAGAGAGCTTTTTTGTATGATTGAAACAGCACTGAGGAAGCATTGAGGAAATGTTAGAATGGCATCAAAGCAGCTTTATTGGCGGGGTAAAAGCAGCACTGAGACGCGGTTAAGGAAGCATTGAGGAAGGGTTGAGGCAGTACTGAGGTGGGGTTAAAGTGACAGTGAGGTGGGGTACAAGCAGTATTGAGGTGGGATTAATTAAGGCAGGATTGAGGCGGGGTTGAGGCAGCACTGAGGAAGGGTTGAGGCAGTACTGAGGTGGGGTTAAAGTGACAGTGAGGTGGGGTACAAGCAGTATTGAGGTGGGGTTGAGGCAGCATTGAGGAAGGGTTGAGGCAGTACTGAGTCGGGGTAAAGTGGCAGTGAGGTGGGGTGCGAGCAGTTTTGAGGCAGGATTAAGGCAGCATTGAGGTGGGGTTGAGGCAGTACTGAGGTAGGGTTAAAGTGACAGTGAGGTTGGGTACAAGCAGTATTGAGGTGGGGTTAAGGCAGGATTGAGGCGGGGTTGAGGCACTACTGAGGTGGGGTTAAAGTGACAGTGAGGTGGGGTACTATCAGTATTAAGGTGGGATTAAGGCGTGGTTGAGGCAGGGTTAAAACAGCACTTGGGCAGTGGTAAGGCAGTGTCAAGGTGGTGGTAAGGCAATGCTGAGGTGGGGTTAATGTAGCATTGAGGCAGCACCAAGCCCTGCTGGCCAGACATTTGACCTCTACTGACTCTGCATGTGGCATTTCCATGCCATGCATGGTGAAACACACATAGCAGCCAGTTTTATTCTGCATGCAGCTTAATGAATGTCTCCCTCTTTCTCTTCCTGCCTGGCTATGCCATCAGAAGACGTCTATATGCCAGGTGGGTACCTCTCCTCCCTTGTAAGCTTTTGGTCACTACGTCCGTGTTGGTGTCTACAGCAATCTTAGTGTAAAAATGGGTGTAACCTGTGCTGTGACTGTCGCTGCCTTGGGCCCTGTGATAAGGTGAGTGATTTTGCAGTAATACCCGTTGCTTTTGGAGACAGACTATCCCTCATCAGGTCAAATTTGGGCTTTAATAAAAACATGTAAAACATACATAATACCTTCATTATATTTAATAAATGGACTGGGGCAATCCCGTCCTTAAGAGTTTAAAATTACCTTTCAGTTAGTGAAATTTTTATTTGAAGCAACAACTTAGAAGTAGTAGAACGACAGATGATGATATTATAATTTTTTATCAGTGTTATTGGGTGCCATGCAATAGATGCCCTCAATGATGTCCAACTGATGTCCCTATGGACAGTGTTCCTAGAGAGTGTTCAGTCTTCTGAAGAATTAAATTTTCTCCACCCTCTATACCAGCTGTCGCCAGCTGGTCAATCACTATTGACCAGTCAATTGCTAATTAAGACATTCCCAGTCAATCACTATCGACCAGTCAATTGTTAATTAAGACATTCCCAGTCGATTACGGCACCTTCTATTGTGGCATCCCCCCATCACACAAAAAAAGTCAACCAAGGAAACTGTCCCATTTTGTAAAATCCACCAAGGGGCATGGTGACTCAGTAGCTCCCCAGATTCTTCTCCCTCTAAAGTTTGCAGTGTAAAGGTTGGAGCCCCCTGCTGTATAGCGAAGTTCTGTGGCTCCTGCGTACAGAGCGCCCTAGTCAGTGTCACGAGGCAGCCCTGTGGCTTCCTTCCCCACAGCAGTTCTGTGAAATGGCAGTGTGCATTCAGACACAATGTGAGGACCCCAGAACCCTCTGCTCCAGGAGATCATTCTGTGCACAGAGCAGCAGACAGAGCATCTCGCTCTGTTAGACAGGTCCTGGGTGTTATGCTGGTTTCATAACAGCCAGGGCTGGAAACTGGCAGGCTGAAAAAGTGAATCCAGCATGCTGCTCAGGCTCCTAAAGCTTTCCTGTATTCATTGCAGCCACTTATAATCAGTCACCTTTCAGCAAAGAGCAATTTTTCTGGTTGTGAAAGTGCTGACCTTAAACCTGTCAGGAACGATGCCAAGACGTCCTTCAGGGGAGTTCGAGAAACATGATGATCTGACGACATTTTAGCCTTAAATGGTTTTTATTATTATTATTTTTTTTTATTGTTGTTGTTATTGTTGTCGTCATTGTTAGTAATAAAGGGTTTTATTATTATTATTTGTTATTTATTATTAAAGGATTCAAATTTTATTATTATTATTACTATTATTATTGTTTCTAAACTCTGATCGTGACCAGCTCGCTAAAAATACCCAGCCCCGTTTCGTCCACCTCCAGTTCCCTTGCCTTCCCCTGCCTCCCACGCTCCCCTGTTCCTTCCTCTATGCCACCCCCTTCCCCGTTGTCAGGGTCATTCCCAGGTAACGGGGTGCCTGTGTGTCAGTGTGACAAAGCCTTCCCATAATCCCCTGTTCTCTGCTGACTCTGCCTTTGTTTTCCTTTAAGGTCTGGCACACCTGATGATGGGCGACCAAGGTACGGGCTCCTTACTTTTGCGCTACCTGCTTCATGTCCCATATGCCCACCCATCATCCTCTACCTTGGTATTGCTTAGGCCTGCTGCTTCAAACATGTTTTAGTGTTTAATACATGTGTGTTTGGGATGGAGTGCATTCTTTGGAATGCTGTGTACATGTATTTTGTTCTTTCGTATGTTTTGGTTTCCTTTGCTTTTTTCAACCATACTTTGTTTCTGCACTGCACATCACACTATTGTGCCCCAGTCGATCAGTCAGTGTCACATTCATATACCAGCTTGATAAATATCTTACTCATTCACCCACTTATAGGTGTTTGAAGCATGCCTTCCATTCAATTACGCATTACATTATCACATCGAAGAGTTCAAGTTCTTCTGTGGAATCTGATTGGCTATTGCTGAATTAATCCCCACTTTCTGCTTGGCCTGATACCTTGTAGGCCACAGGTCCCAGCATGCAATGGGACTGGAATGCACAGCTGTCCTTCTCCTCCCTGTGATGTTCACACTGTGTTTTAAACATGGTTGTGATTCTTGCTCTCTCCTCTGCTTTATTTCCCCATCTTTGTCTGGCAACCTTCTTCATGGACCCATATATGGAATATCATAGGTAAAAGCAAAGGTATATGTTTTGTTTTATTTAGTCAACATCGTGAAATAGTCCCTACTTAGTTTTATTAATGTGTTTCTTATGAGTGAATGTACGAAGCAGAACTTGCCTGGTGGTATCTGAGTATGTTCGTGGCACTTTTAGGTAAGGATAGGGTTTCTTTCTCGTTACACACAGCAGGAGCCTTTGGCTTGATGCACGGCATCAAAACATACACCCAAGGTGAGGATTATTTCTCCCGAAAGCAGTTTTCCACCATGTTTGATACCTGTTATTTTGGCTACACGCTCTGGGGGTAAGTGATCCTCTGCACCTCTCAGCAATGGAGGGGCCTGTTTATAAATGTTACTCTGGTACTTTTTCACTCGGAAAGAATCAGAGGTGTAGTCAAATATTTTTATCTCAGACTCTGAAGTGAAGATTCGTTTAAGCTTTTATATGGCCCCATTCCAAGGTCAGCGGGCTAAAGAAGTGCCAGGAATGCGAAGCTTATTGAAGTGAGAAGTTTGTTAGACCTGAACTCCTGGGTGGAGAGGTAGCTGGGTCCCCAGTGCTCTGTGCAGAGAGCTAGAACTCTGAGCTGCTGTATGCAGGCGCAGAAATGTAGGGGGCGCTACTGATCCAAGGTAAGCAACACTCAGCTTAAACAGCTACTGTAGATAAAGGGGAAGTCTCTGCCCTTGGCTGTCAGAAACTCCTATAAACTAGGAACTTTATAGCTGAAGATGTTTTTGGTATTAAGTGCCTATGGAATTAAATGTAGGTCTGCATCCTTCATCTGATGTGTGTGCATTAAACAACTTGGATGCTCTGAGGTGTGACCTTTCAGTGCCTTCTAAGTGAAAAGTTTTAAGCCCATCCTGGTCCAAACAACAAGCTCATTAAGACCCAGCAGAGGAGTCATGTGATCCTATTGTATTTGTTGATACAGCATTTCTGAATTTCCTGTTGGTTAGACACCATATGACTTGTGTTGCCTTAGAGTAGGTCTTTGCAATCCTCTAACAACAGACTTTTTTCCCTGAATCTTGAATAATAACAAAATTACTTTAGTTTTTAAGTATTTCTGCTGTAGACAGGCTACACAAAGTCACTCTGTTATGTGTCCTTAGTGTCACAGTGGTGACTGTCTCAGGTGAGGAGCCTGTGTTCAGCACATAGATTGGCTGTGTTACACATAGTCACTGCTTCAGGTGTCCTTAGTGTCACAGTGCTGACTGTTTCTCAGGTAAGGAGGCTGTGTTCAGCACATAAACCGGCTGAGTTACACACAGTCACTGCTTCAGGTGTCCTTAATGTCACAGTGCTGACTGTCTCTCAGGTAAGGAGGCTGTGATCAGCACATAGACCAGCTGATTTACACACAGTTACTGTTTTATGTGTCCTTACTGAAGTGTCACAGTGCTGACTCTGTCTCAGGTAAGAGCCATTTCCTTGCCATTAGGCTTTGACTGTTACACAGGTCTGAAGGTCAGAAGAAGATAGCTGTGAAGAAGTGAATAGCTTCACTTGGCTCACATGTTGCTCTCAATCTCCTGTTTGAGAGGGACTGTTGTGTGTAAGGTCACCATTTCACTACAGATTTGCTGGTTTAAGTAGAACTGGTAGGAGAACGCTTCTGTGGTACAAAATAAAGGTCTGTTTATTCTTGCTGTTTAATTACTGTGCCCACAGGTTAAATTATGGACATAGCCAATAAGACCAACACTCCTTAAGGTTAGATTGATGATGTTTGCTTGCAGCACTAAGGTGTTAGATGTTTTCCTGTTGATGTGGAATCACAGTATGCAAACTAAACTCTGATATACACAGTGTCATGTTTGTGGTGCTGTTCATCTGTCAGGGGTAAATCTGTTTCTGAAGGAGCCTACTCAGTTTTGACCTACCTAAGACCAGTACATGCTGGTAGAAATCTCAGGAATTCATGATGATAAGCTGTGGCTGTGATGGTTCCTGGCATTTTTGTACTCAGTCTCTTGTTTAATGGTTCCATGCTGGATAGTTGACCAGCTTTCCTATAACATACTCATTATTTTTGTCCCAGAATAAGATCAGGGCTGCATGTGTTTTATCATGGAACTACATTGTCCGGTTTCCTGCCATATCATTGAACAAACGATTTAGTATATTTTCAAAGGTTATGTGTTCATGTACTCTAGCTATTGCTACTGCAGTGTAACCCACATTTCTACTTTCCATACCCCTGCACTGGGTTTACTGCAGTATCTGTAAAAAAAAAAAAAAACTGATTAAAGATATTGATTGTTGCCTGTACCAACATTTTGATGGGAAGGATGAAACTGGTCCAGACAAGCATACAACCCTTTATTGGTTTTGAAATGGTTTCTTAGTAGAGATTACTACGTCCTTAGTATGTAACTTTAGTAGGCATAACAAGGATTCATTATTGAAACTCTTTTCACCTACCACATCTTGTTCTCCATGAGGCACACAGACTCATGTACAGGTGAGGAGACAAGCTTAGGGTCACAGTGCAGGGTTAATCAGTGTGCAGCACCCCTGGAGCTGGAGCTTAAAGAGGCAGTTCACCACAAAACTGAACGAAGACATTTTAGAGAGGTTTGAGTGATATCTAGCCATATAGGTTGTTCTGCTGGGAGTTGTCTAGTTTTGGAGGTATTGGCTGTAGGCTTTGGGCTTTTCTGAAATATAATGCAAGTCAATGACATTCGTTCTCTGCCTCTTTAAGGGCCTTTGCTCAAGGTTCTATCGACATATGTCTTCTGCCAGGCCACCTTCAGATCAAAGGCGAAGTCTGCTGAGCCACATGCCGCCCCCTAAATGCCAGCTAGGGATGCACAGTGCTTGGGAGGGGTACTCAGCCCATTCAGCCAGTGAGGGCAGCATTGTTGTGTACAACAAAGGTGCTAATGGGAAGCAGGCGTGTGAACTCACCTGTGTCAGGATTTTAAAGGTGCTAATGGGAAGCAGGCGTGTGAACTCACCTGTGTCAGGATTTTAAAGGTGCTAATGGGAAGCAGGCGTGTGAACTCACGTGTGTCAGGATTCTGCAGTGACCCTCACTGTTTCTAACAGCCCTCATCTGATACATTTCACACATGTTTGTGTAAAATGGGGGTGAGTGAGAAGCCGCCATTTAGCCATGGTCCTCCCGTTTCTTTGTGCTTTGTGAATCTCGCCCTCTGGTGGCAGTCCAGAGAGGCCAGCGGGCTCAGTGTCACATGACTGTGACCCGACAGCTGACAAGTGGCTCAGCTGCAGCCAGTTTGTCTGTGATGTTGACGGAGAGGAACAGCACAGGTTTGAGCACAGAAGGGAGTAACTACAGGCGAGGTTATGATTCTCATCTGTTATTCATGGGAGCAGAAATGTCACCAGAGACCTGAGGAGAAGGGCTCCATTTCAGCACATTATTGTTGTGAAAACATTTCTAATTTTCTTCGTATAGCTTTATAATTTATATCTTTATTGCTGCTCTCTTATCTGTATTGCAATTATGGCTGAATGATCGCTGTCCAATATTGCCAAGTTAGATGTGAAAGCGTGTGATTGCAATGGTCCCTTTGCTTCTGGCCACAGTGTAATTAAATGGGTGTCAGTTTAAGTGGGGTTTTGTATGTTTAATGACCATGAACCTCTACCTGTTATTCCTTTTCCTTAAGACACTTGATTCAGCTAATGATTTCTCATTTTACACTGATGGAAAATTCCCCTGTACTCCTTACAGGGTTTATTTGTGAGAAATAATGAGTACAATGCAGGGAATAACCCAGAAGGGAGCACCAACCCAACGTAGGGTAGGGAATAATCAAGGGGGTGGCCACCAACCCATGGCAAGGTAGGGAATGACCCAGGATGGGGTACCAACCCATCACAGGGCAGGGAATAACCCAGGGCCGGGTGCCAACCCATCTCAGGGCAGGGAATAACCCAGGGCTGGGTGCCAACCCAACGCAGGGCGGGGAATAACCCAGGATGGGGCACCAATCCATCAGAGGGCAGGGAATGACCCAGGAGGGGGCGCCAGGAGGAGGCACCAACCCATCAGACGGCAGGGAATAATCCAAGAGGGCGCCAACACATCATTTTATGAGACAAGCCTGTGGGTCTGTGGGCGGCTGACCCCGAACATTTCATGAGGTGAGTCTCTGGGACTGTGGGCGGCTGACCCCGAACATTTCATGAGGCGAGTCTCTGAGAATGTAGGCAGCTGACCCCGAACATTTCATGAGGTGAGTCTCTGGGACTGTGGGCGGCTGACCTCGAGCATTTCATGAGGTGAGTCTCTGGGACTTTGGGCGGCTGACCTCGAGCATTTCATGAGGTGAGTCTCTGGGACTGTGGGCGGCTGACCCTGAACATTTCATGAGGCAAGTCTCTGGGACTGTGGGCAGCTGACCCCAAACATTTCATGAGGCGAGTCTCTGGGACTGTGGGCGGCTGACCTCGAGCATTTTTTGAGGTGAGCCCCTAGGACTGTGGGTGGCTGACCTTGAGAATTTTATGAGGTGAGCCTTCATAACTGTGGGTGGTTGATACAGACCATTTTACAAGGCAATCCTCTAGGACTGTGGGTAGCTGACACAGAACATTTTATGAGGTCATCCTCTAGGACTGTGGGCGGCTGACCCTGAGCATTTCATTCGGGCATTTTTTTAGCTGCAGGACTGTGATTGACTGAGGTAGTGCAAGCAAATTGCATTTGAATCATAAACCTCTTGCAAAGCTGATACAATTTATGAAATATTCAGCCTCATTTGTTTGGGCAGAAATCTCCTGGACCATGATTGCATCTTTGTCTGCTCTAGCTGGCATATGACCAGAGTTTGGATTATCCATCACCCCATCCATACATAATCATTTATTCAGTATAATGTCAGTCTGGAGCCTATTCCAGGAGATACCTTGGAGAGGGGGCTAGTCCATCAGAGGGCACACACACACACATATATACTCACACTCTGTGGGGAGGGGTGAGGTGTGTTGGTTAGTGGCCTGTAATCAGACGGCAACAAGTCGATTACCAGCATCAGCAGATTCATGTCACTATTGAGCCATTCAGCAAGGCCCTTAGCTCCCAGTTGCTTCAGGAACTGGCTGGCCCTGCTGCCCTTGTCACTTTGGATAGAAGCACCTGCTAAATAAATTAAATATAAACTTAGATACACCAACGCCAAGTGGAGGAAGGAGACCACAGTAACACAGAGAGCCCAGGCAGGCAGAGTAACACTGGGAGACCA